AACTTTTTTTGATGCAGGCGTGCGATTTGCTTTCAAAAAGAAAAAAAACCCAAAAAAAAATTTGTGATATTTTTTTTATAAATATAATAGCGTTTTGCCAGGCGAGGCAAGTGATAGGGTAAGGGCAGTTGAAGCCTTGTGAAAAGTAGTGAAAGTTGTAAGCCAGTCGGGGCTTGTTTAAGGGCAGTCGAAGCCCAGTGCAAAATAGGTTTTTGTTTATATTCCAGTGGCGGAACCAGAGTTTGGCGTCGGAATCATCCGGAGGAGCACCGAAGTTGGGTACCCACACCCGACCGAGAAACTAATAAGTATCACTTCGTGTATTTATTGTTTGCGTACGTTTTGTCGTGCCGACGGTGTCACCACCCTCGTTACGTCCTTACCCATCCCAATAGCATCCCGCACCCAGAGCCCAGTCATACAGGCGGGTTAAAGTTACCCCCGGCAGCACGGGAGTAGTGCGAGTGGGTTCGTAACCAGTTCGGTTGGACCACACCTCGGGTACACCCAAAAACATATTTTGTTTTATTGTCTTAAGTAGTTCGACTCTGTTGTTAAGTTGTTGTCTTGCGATTTTTGTTTATATCGGCGTTAGTAAATTCACTGGTGTTGTTTTTCTCTCCGTTAGATTTTCTTAGTATACTTAGCTGTTGACCCCCGCCGTCTTCACTAAGCTGGCCGGTCGCTTTGTTAGTTTTTGTCATCTCCATTTTGTACGGTAGTTTGTTTTGACGTGTGTGGTTGTTGGTAGGCCCTTGACCAACAGCCACAATAGGAATACATATGTATGTACGTATGTACATGCGCACATACATATTGTAATAATAAAAAGTGGAGGTGACAGCGTAAACTGCAAATACGAACATGCTCCAACTGCCAAGGATTGCCCGGCAAGAGTAAAGGCATACATCATAAAAAGAACGATGACCTTGGAAAATGTCACATATAGGGAAGCCCAAAAGAAAATTACAAACATATTACGAGAGCCAATTCCCTCATTTACCCCAGACCAAAACTACAATAATTGTAAGAACCAGAACGAAAAAGCCGCTTACATACACAAAATACTGCCATATTCACATGTAACGCGAAACAACAACAACAACAGACGCAGAGAAGAATTAATGCAGCCAACACCATGAAAGAGTGGAGAGAGGCCATAAAACGAGTTAACACAAAGGAAATAAAAATTTAATCCCAAAAGCTCAAGGAAACACAAGATACATTCAACAATTTGAGTAAAGCGATTTCTTCACATCTAGCAACGAACATCAATGAGAGATTAAACAAACTAAACAACACATTTGACAGCATATTAATAAACAATACCCCAAATGCAGAAGCGATAAAAATATTACAATTTAATATACAGAGTCTAAAAAAACAAAGAAACAAAGAACTCCTAGAAATCTATCTACACAACCATGATATAGACATAGCCATTTTATCAAAGACATTGCTAACCAATAACATAGATACCAGCTTAACCAACTACAACTACGCATACTCCAATAGACAAGACGGTTTCGGGGGAGTAGGAATATATATAAACAAATATATAAAGTTCTCAATTTTTAAAATTCAGTGTGGCATCGAAAACACACTTAACCTGAAAAGAAACATTAATGCAATAAGTCTCTATTGTCCACCCAACACACAAACACAGATATTTAAAACAGAAATTGACAAAATATTCTTATAAACCAGAAAGTTGAACAACATAGCCCTTATCGGAGGCGACCTTACCGCCAAAGCAGCATCGTGGGATAAACAATCAACTAACGCTAGAGGCTTTATCCTGGAAAATATTGCGCAGGAGAATGGATTCAACTGTCTCAACGACGTCTCTCCTACCTTCACAACAAATAATTCTACTTCAGCCACAGATGTAACCTTCGCCAACCAAAATATACCAAACAGCTGGAAAACCACAAGCAAGTTAACAAATAGCAACCACAACCCAATAATCACCACACTATTCGACAAATTCATTCCGAAACAAAAACCCAAAAAAATCGAAATGAATCAAGTACTCAAAGACGTCAGCAGCATTAATATAGGGAAGAGTTTAAATGAATTCAATAACAAAATCAAAAATATTATATAGAAAAACACAATCGAAATCAAAGGCACAAATAAATATGTACCAAAACGCTGGTGGACAGACGAAACAAACATATTATTCAACGCAGCATGAAAAAAATTTAATCAATATAAAGCACCACAAAACAGTGAATTGTATAGGATAACGGAAAAAACTTGCGGGAACATATTAAAAATCAAATAAATATAAATTTCAACGAAGTAGTCAACGAGCTCTCAGAACCAAATAACGCAAAAGAAATGTGGGCAAAAATTAAAAACTTAAAAAAATATAAATGCGAGAAGTCTTCCTGGAGCAACGAGGAGCAAACTAAATACCTCGAACATATCACTAGAACAACCGCCCATCAGCTACCCACAACTAACGACAATCCAAACCGAGCAAATGAAACAATAGAAGAAATGAACTTAAACAACTTCCTGCATTTTCTACACACTATGTATATGAATTTAGCCAAGGGACCGGATCTAATATCTTACCTCATATTAACACACCTGAACGACATAGAAAAACAAAACCTTTTCATAATGCTTAAAAACGTCTGGCTTGAAGGGAAAATGCCAGAAGAATGGACGGAAATTAAACTTATCCCGATTACCAAAAAAGTTTATGACATTACAAACATCCGAAATTATAGACCGATCTGCTTACTCTCAACTTTACACAAAACAATAGAAGGACTACCCAAAATTCACATTGACAACCAATTACAACAACACAGCTTTTTGCCAAATAGATCGTACGGGTTTCAGAAAAACCCATTCAAACGTACAGTGTATAAATGACTTAATCAATACTGTTGCCCTCCACAAAGAGGAAAAACTATAAGTAATGGCAGCCTGTATTGATGTAGAATCAGCATACGAGTCTATAGATGTCAATACGCTGGAAAAAATACTTAGGATGACCCCAATCAACAAGAAAGTAACAAACTGGATAATAAACTTCCTCAAAAGACGATACCTCACACTCAATAGTAACAAAATACTAAACAACAACGGCCTAGCTCAAGGTAGTGGCCTCAGTCCCACTCTCTTCAACATATATACGAAACAAATTCACACAATAACCAACCCAAACTGTAAATTATTCTAATTTGCCGACAACGTCAACCTCAGATGATGCCTACGATTAATTCGCTCAACGCCAGTTCATTTCATATACCATATGTCCGCCGAGCTACCACCCAATTTCAAATTAGAGTTGGCAAAAGCAAAAGACAAACCAACCAAACATATTGTTACGCTTTTGCTAAGTCAACCTCGATGATTGTCTGAATCCTTCGGGTACGACCTCTGGATTGTTAAAAAAAAATTTCGCCAACTTAATTTGCAGTTTCTTTCGTTATAAAAAATTTATCTAATCGTGCCCCTGCGTTATACTGCTTCATCTGCCCATGACTTCGGAACTTTGGGCCCTTAGCTGCTATGCACTCTGTGCAATTAGCAATCCACTCCGCGACCGATTGCCGACAGCCAGCCCAATAGAACCACTGCTTGATCTCTATGCACTCTATGAAAACAGCCGGATATCAGCTCTAAACTGTTCCATTGTGCCCAGTATGCCTTCGCGATAGGACTTTCCGCAGCCATTTATTCCTTATTTGGTCGTCTATTTACCTCCAATCCGTGTATTAATAATTCTAAATCTAGATCTTCTTGCTGACATTTCCTAAAGTTACTTGACTCCCACTCTTCTGCTTGCGTAACTTTCATTTGCCGGACGTCTATTATGTCTTCTTTAACCTTAGCTTTTGAGCAATGTTTCCATTATATATTACATGGTCGACGGGACATAGCGTCAGCATTTCCGTGCGTATTACCCTTGCGGTGCTCGATTGTGAAGTCATAACTTTGTAGTCTCTCAATCCACCGTGCTAGCTGACCTTCGGGATTCTTGAACTGTAGTAGCCACTTCAGCGCTGCATGATCCGTTCTAACTCGGAAATGTTGACCATACAGATATTTGTGGAAGTGTTTGATGCAATCCACCAAGGCTAATAGTTCTCTTCGTGTCACGCAGTAGTTTCGCTCTGGTTTACCAATAGACCGGCTATAGAAAGCAACTACCTTCCTCTGCCCATGAATCTCTTGCGAGAACACTTCCTATGCCATAGCCACTAGAATCTGTGTCCATAATAAATGTTGCACCTGGAACCGGATACGCTAGCATAGGCGCAGTGCATAGCCGTGTTTTTAAAGCTTGGAAGGCCTCCTCTTGTTCGGTTCTCCACTCAAATTATCTATTCTTCCTTTGGACCTGATGTTAACGCCAACGAGTTCACTTTGTAACTAACTTGACTTGGCAGCTGAGTGTCGCCCTTATATAGCAGTCGGCTGTTCGTAAACGAAAGTGTAGAATACTCGAGTTGTTCGCTATCCAAGGTTCTCGTTTTATCGCTTTTAGAATGTACTTGTTATTGGCTTCTCTCTTTCATCTGACCTTCGCCTCGCATTTTCGGGTACGATCTCTGGATTGTTAAATAAAAAATCGCCAACTTAATTTGAAGTTTCTTTCGTTGTAAAGAAATTATCTAATGTCCTTTATTTACTCAGTAATTCACTATTCAATTATAATGCACCTTACTATTTACAATCACTATCATCAACTTTCAGAATGTACTCTACTTAAATGTAATCTCCAACGTGTTTACTTAACTGACTCTATACTGATGTTAACGCCAACGCGTTCACTTTATAACTAACTTCTTGGCAGCTGAGTGTCCCTTTATATAGCAGTCGGCTGCTCGCAGACGAAAGCGTAGAAGTATCGATTTGTTCGCTATCGAAGGTTCTTGTTTCATCGTTTCTACCAAGATTCTTTGATACTCGCTTTTTAGAATGTGCTTTAGTTATCGGATTAAGGTTTTTATATGACAATCGTTTTTGGTATTATCGCACAACATATTGGCTGATATCTTAGCGTGCTGTTGTTCGCTTATTTATATTTTTGTGGGAAGCTGGTGTTATTGGCTTAGAAGTGGCAAGTACAAATTACTGTCAAAAGAATTTGTTGTTTTATTGCAGTCTGGTATATCTTTTAAAATCTCGTGGTTTGTAAACACACCGTTCAGAATATTTGGCATTAGGTGCTTAAGAGATTGGGTGTATATAGAAAATATGTCGTTTAATCGTGGTGGCAGACGTGAAGGAGGTATGATATACATATTTTTCAACTTCTGTAAATTCTAAATTCTTCTATTTATAGGCTTTCGCGGTGGCCGTGGGGGTAGCGGAAATCGTTTTGGCGGGCGAACATTTGCACAAGGCCCTCCTGATCATGTCACTTTATTGGGCCACTATAGTTATTCTTGTGAAGGCGATCTTGTTTGCAAAGTGGAAATTGAAAACGTCCCATATTTTAATTCGCCGATCTTTCTAGAAAACAAGGAGCAAATTGGCAAAATTGACGAAATATTCGGCACAATACGAGACTATTCTGTCACAGTAAAATTGTCGGAAAATATAAATCCGAAAGGTTTTAAGCTACAACAAAAACTTTTCATAGACCCAGGAAAGTTGCTGCCATTGACGAGGTTTTTGCCTAAACCGCCTCAACAGAAAGGTGGTAAGAAGAAGAGCCAAGATATAGGTGTTGGTTCATTTAGAGGTGGTAGAGGAGGAAACAGTCACAGTCGTGGTGGCGGAGGTTTTAACAAAGGAGGTGTCGGTAAAGGTTTCATTAGAAGAGGGGCTTTTAACAGAGTCGGTGGCAAAGGTAGCGGCTTTAAACGTGACGGAGGTGGTCGAGGGAACACTAGGCAAGGAGGTCGCTGGTAATATGAGAAAAGAGCATGGAAAATTTTTTATTTCCAAAAATTTTTAGATCCAAAAATTTAGATACTGAAAAAGTTTATATAAATTTATATATTTGACTCGATGATTAACAACCGAAATATGTTATAATTTCCATTAGATTGCTTTGGTAAATAAAATTCTAATTCAAATGCTTTAATTAATTAACAATTTCTAATAAAACTTTACTATATGAAATCTACTTGGTCGCAAAAAAGGTGATAATTAAATGTGTGGGCATTGATCGAACTTATAAAATTTTAAACGCATCTATTGTGAAGGGGTTAAGATGCATCAAGCATTCGGATTTAATTACTCCCTAGGAAAAATTCCTAACTACTAGTTCCGAGCTTTTTAGAGGTGTAAAGTTTAACCGGCCACGGTAGCGGTGTAGTTAGCATTGCCTACTGCCGTTCGGAAGGCCCGGGCTCAAATCTTGGTACGACCAACATTCAGAAGTTATAGAAAATTAATTGAAATTTTCTTACTGCGGTGGCCCTTTGGTAGGGAATGTCAACCTCACCCGAGTGTACGTATGACATGATATAAAGGCTCTCTCGGCACCGCTTTGCAGGTGAGATAACTTACGGCAACTCTATATCTTACTTTTCAGAAATATAATCTCTTCCTAACTTGCTTTAACATTGTTGGTGACGATGACATAAAACGATGGCGACTTGCTTAATACAATAAAGTGGATAACAGTAAAAAAAATAAAACACCACTTAAAACAATTATTTTTAAGGTTCGTGAGTTATTTTCGTCTCAACAAAGCAACTTCTCGGAATGTGTTGTTGTGGATAATCCGTCCAAAATCTAATGCAGGCGTGCGGTCATTGACTATTTCCCGTACTATAAAATTTGCTACTTCTTTGCGATTTATGGCTCAAGGCTATAACCAAGTCAGCATTGGGAACGATTTTAATGTATCGTTGTCGCCATCAGACGTTAGTAGAACCCTGACAGAGACCCAAACAGCAATGAAAGGCACGGTTTAACAGCAAACGAAATTCCAAACAAACCAGCATTTCATTAACTGCACTGGATCTCCACCCAGTATATCGATGCGTTGTTGCTGTTGTTGTAACCGCAAAAATATTCCACAAAATACTTTTTAGGGAATGTTGCGGGAGTGACAGTCCTTGGCCGGATAAAACTCCGAGCCAATTCCGGTGTAAAGACCCGACTGTCGCTGGAACTATTAGATTTTAGTCGACTTTTACGACAGGCATGCCTTACCACGAGTAAATTCTTGAACCCCTAACCCGCAGGGGGTTGGATGCGTCGATAGGACTCGTGTGAAAATTTCAACGCCTTCTGGAAATTTCAAAAAATCGGTAACTGCAAAGCGTTATCCAGCTTTGTTACTCTCGTTTGTGATCAAAGGATGCGAGTAAGGTTTGTAAATGTCAGATACGCTGGATATGGACATGATTCGTTGGTATGGAGTGTTAGCTCTATAAAAACACTTGCTGTATCGTTTCAACATGGGTAAACGTGATTCCTGCTTGCTTGGCAATAAACTGTTTCTTTTTAATCAGTATGCAGTAATAATTATTTATTCTATTATATCAGGCGATGTAAGATATTTGATATGTGCTAGAACCATACCTAGGGTGAGTTCCAAAACGTCAGTTGCAAAGCAAGCATACATTGTTACGCATTCCTAGACTCCCTTCAAGGACTTCCTTCCAGTGAATGACGTGCGTGACCTTGGCACAATTCAGGTTTGGATTCTGTAGCGAGTTAAACTCCTACTTTTTATTTGATTTGTTTTATATTTCAGTCATTTCACCGAAAATCAATTTATTTGCACCGAAATCGTAATTCACGGCATCATTACAAAATATTTTGACGTTTTGGACCTCGTCCCTAATGACACCATAACGATCAGCAGTTGAAGGTGGCCTTGAAGTATTTTTAATAAAAAGCATGCCCAGATCTTTAATATAATTACTTCTGAGCGCTGCCCCTGACACGATGTGAAAATCGTGCTTTGCGATTTTAATGCAATGGTGGTGGTCCGAGGACTCTACACCGAATTGGGCCATTATCTTGTTGCAACAAAGATACGCATGCGCCTCTGTGAATCAAAGAACACCCGTTAAAAAAAAGGGAATGTTCAAAGTTATAAAGCTGCAATCGCAACAGACTGTCGAACAATTTTCTACTCAACTTGCACTCCTGCTTTATAAGTTGTATGAAACTTTTCTTGGCAAGTCTGTAACCATAAGTAAATTCATCTGTTTTGTTTACCTGACTCGAGATTCTTGTGTTTGTTTATGTTTCATTAAATAACTTCAGGCTCCAGAAGCATACGTTGTAAAAAGAAGTGCCCTCTACAACACTTATGAGATTTTTTTACATGGCGAAAACGGGAAGAAAGGAAGAAATTTATATGTTTCCCGAATACTGCGGCGGTTGTTGTCGAATTTGTGCTACGCAAAGTGACAGCAATTTTCACAAAATCTACTGATGGAAGATCTACTCGAGAAGATTTCTTGGTTGTCACTTCAGAAACTCTCTCTGAATCCTCATTCAACACGAATTCAAATAGCACCAGCTTCACTCAACAACTTTTCGAATCCAATCAAATTTGCAACCGAATCTTCAAGAGGAAACAATACCATACGCTTGTAACCCCTCTGCCTATCGCTCTTGTCTCTTTCTTGTTGTTCATCATTTTTTTCTTCACTTTATTTCAAAGATAATATAGCTAAAATGATGACACAAGATATATTTGAATTTTTTTTTCATGTTTTCAATACACCTTGTACTATCGCCATCCGGCACAGGTGTTTCTATCGCATTACTCTCCTCTCTGGATGACGCATCTTGGCTTATTTAGCAATTCTAACACAATGATCTCAAATTGAGCGTTTGTCGTTAGCCGCTTTAATTTTTGCATCGTCTGTTACGTTTAAGGATGGTCAGTAAAATATCTGTCGACATGAATCGACAGAAAGCGATGGTGATAACGGTGAAAACCATTGAATTTGTTATTTTAGTAAATGACATTTTTCTGTGGACTTTTGTAGAAAAAACTAGCTAATTATCTTATAGCTACTTGCTTTAAATTAATTTTAGGTTACTTTCATTTTATACTTAAATTATTTTAATAATTGTTTTGGTTACATAAATTTTCTTAAATAAACAAAATATAAAAATGAAACTGAAATCTTGTCCGTTTGCAATCGATTTTTGTTGCAGGAAACACAAAACAATATTATAAAACCAAACTCAATTTCGATCCTGCTATAAACAACAAACTGAATATACAATTCATTGAAATCAATATTTTTGCGCATCATACATAAAAAGAGAAGAAGAACTAAATTTTTCAATTATTTGTCGAAAATATACTGCCTAGTGCAATAATTAATAATTTGAGATATAGTCGAGAGGTTTTTATAATATTTGCAAAAAATATATCCAAAGAGAAGAAATTGCGATTTAAAGAGTTTTAAAGATCGGTTCGGATAACGAAATAAGCACATTTTGTAACTAAATCGAACTACTAAAACCACTAATGCTCAGGATATTAACTAATGTTTTTTTTGTAAAATATTGCATTCAAATATATTTGGCTATTATTTAAATATAGCATTATTAAACTATTTAGGTTAATTTAAATTTTTTAAATTGTTTTAATTGTTCTACAATCGTGCATAGATTATCCATGCGCGCAAATTAAAACACAAAATATTCATACACATAATAATAAACTACCCCCGTGTTTTAATTATCGTCCTGAAGCATGGTTTTTGCTTGTCAAAGGACAATTTCAAATTAACAACATTTATAACGGTAATGTTTTAATTGTTCTTGAAACGATTATGAAAGTGCTTTATGAAAGGTTTTATCTTAGTGAAGAAAATAGATTAGAAAAATTAAATTCAAATACTCAACTTGGTGACGGTTCACCCTCAGAACATTTTAATATAACAAATCAAATTTTTTGTTTGCCACGAGTGTAATTGTTTTAGTTATTATCTCTTCGAAATTCAAGTCATTCAAAAGAAATTCTGACCTTAAAGTCTCGGCTGGAAACGGATCTTACTTATAAACATTTCGAGGCAAAACTTTTAATACTAGATTTAGGTTTAAGAGGCTTCGAATTTTTAATTCTAATTGCTGATATTTCAACTCTAACTATTGGTGTTAATTTATTTGAAATTCAACCAAATGAAATTGGAGTTTTGGCAAATATAAAAAATTAAAAAAAAAAGCAGACCTAACGCCTAATTTTAAGATTTCTGGATTTAGTAGTGTTTGGGCTTTTTTCTCACTTCGAACTCCCATTGTTGATATCAAAAATAAAGAAATAACAGATTTAACAAAAAAAAATTTAAAATTTCTGGATCTACTGGTTTTTGCGACATTTTCTCTCTTCGAATTCCCGTTATTGAAAATAAATTTGCGAATATTTTAAATGAATTTCCATCTATTACTTGTGAAGCAGATTACACTAAACAAGTGCAACACCATACGGTTCACAAAATTTGAACAAAAGGGATTCTTCCTTTGTCTAAACCTCGATCGATATCCTTGTACCTCACAATCACGATTTAATTATAGATTAAAAAAATAAAATAATATTTTCATAAATTGACCTAGTTCGTGCTAATCGTCTCCAATAACAGCAATGGATTAGATTTCGTATTTGCTTACATCGATAATATTCTTGTGGTTAATGGCAATCAAGATCAACATATTGAACATTTAAAATCTGTATCTGTAGATGACTCTAAAAAAGCTTTTGAAAATCCCAAAAAAACATTCGTACAAAAAATATTATTAATACATTTCGACAAAAACGTTATCAATTGCAGTTGATTGATTCCGGATCATTTGCAGTATCATAAACATTCAAACTTCCACATTCAGTCCTTAGAATAAAAGTTGCAAAGTCTGTCATAAAACAGACATATTTTGTGAAGTTTCTCTGAAAATAACAAATTGATTGAATTAAATTGATCAGTACTTGTATACATACATAAATGTATGCAAAATAATCAGAACTGTTTGGGGGCCACTAACATGATCAGTTTCCCAAAGACCTACACCTTTTGATGTTCTCCATTTCTCTGCGTCCTTCAGTCAAAGAACTTATATTAATAAGAAGGGAAAAGAACTGTTAATATACGTTCTTTGGTTCCTGTTTGCAATTTTTTCTGTTTTTTGTTTTTTACGGTATATTGTGCTGCGTTGAGACTTGTCCGAAAGTAACTAGTAATGGTTGTTTCGAATAACGTTGAGGCTTTTACCTTTTTTGTTAATTAAAATTTTTTTTGTTGAACCAATAATCTTTTAATTTGAGATGGAGGCATGCGGTCTCCCAGTCAGTACGGTCGAGGTCGTAATCGATTGATATAAAATTGAAATTGTAAATTTTTTTTAACAAATGATTCAGGTAATACGCAAATTTAACACATTAAAAAATGAGGTCTTTGCTACTAAACATTAGATATTCCGAAGTTTTTGTTTATTTTAATTAATAATTATGACTATGAAAGCTGTTTAAGAAAATTTATCTCATGAAATCGACAAGTTAGCTTTTGTTATGTGCTTTTGCGCATATCTAGCAAAGGCCGCTATCAGCTGATTACTGGAAATAATTTTTCGCCCCATTTTCAGGCGAATTTTTTAAACACTCTTGACTGTGATAAGCAACGGAAACTGAAGGCATTGGCTTTAGACAAAACGAATTCCGTCGCGAGGAGGGGACGAGACTTCCACTTTGGACGGCAAATATCCAAAGATAATAGGGAATTGGAAAAATTAATTTTCTATAAGTTTGGATGTTAGTCTTCAGAATGGCTGCACGTAATGCTGGCTGTTGCGGCCTTTTCTATATACATAGTTGCGAACTTAAAATTATTTTCCCGTGAGAATCATCTTGCCTTGTCCTCTGGTATCGAATGGCTTTAAGAAGTCCATCCCAATTCTTATGGTAGCGTAACTTTACCAAGCCATATAAAATTTGTGGGATAGCGACATAGAGGCATCATAATTACGTGAGGTGAAGAGATAATGTGTGACGATCGTTTTCTCAGGAGTCGTTTCCAGGGCTTGACAGGGCTGTAGTGGATCTACCTCGTTGGCTTGCTAGTAAAATTGGGTGCATTAGGACCTCTCATCCGAGCTCCTGAAGCTTCTGACGCGTCACCAAAGACGCGTGTGGCCTGGCATTGTCTTGATGGACCACAATTCAGCCTAGTTTGATCAAAGATGGTCTCTTCTGGATGAGTGCTATCTACAAGCGATCCATTTGTTAACAGTAGAGCGCCGAATTGAGCGTTTAACCATAGGGAAACAGCTCGTTGTAGATGATTCCTTGCCAATCTCACCAAACACACAGCAAAACCTTCCTGGCCGTCAAACCGATCTTGGCCACCGTCTGGGCCGCTTTCCCGAGCTTTGACCCCAACCGTTTGCGCTCGATGTTGTCGTAAGTGACCCATTTCTCATCGCCAGTCACAATTCGCTTCAGAAACGGGTCGATTTTGTGCTATACGTTCGTTTACAACATCGGGCCTATAAATTGAATTCATTTTTTCAGCCGTTTGGCTGCTTTTTCGCCTTGATCGAAAAAAAAATTGTATAATATAGCAAGTTTTCTCCTTGCTGGTATTCATCTTTGACGAGCGGTCACAACGCATTGAGTCAATCAATCGAAAAACTGTCAGGGACGAACTTTTAGCGCGAATAAACACGCTTTCAGCGCCGTGTAGTATGTCATAATGCGACACGTAACAGTAGTACTATGGACTATAATGCCATCTTTTAGATAAACCCCGAGCGAACTTTTTACTGAAATCGTCGAGTATTTTAAATGTCCTCATTGAATGAATTATTTCAAAAAATTCCAAAATTTTATCTTTATTACCTCCTTTTGCATTCTCACTATTCTCTATTCGCGCACTCTATACCTTTCGCTCTCATATTCGCTAATATAACTTAAAATTATCTTATTTATTACTTTTTTGACATTAAAAGCCCACATATAGTCCAGATGATTCCACGTAGTCAAGTTAATGTGTCGCAACTCGATGTTCTTACCCATACGAGGCAAAAGACGAAACACATCAATTGGCGACGACTGTAGATCATTGTCGGCGTAGTAAATCTGTAACGGTGGACTCGCTCTCACGTTCTCCAAAGGGTAATCAGGCGGCGTCGGTTGGCTATAGTATAATATATTTTCTTTGAAACCGTGATCGTATTGTCTAAAATGGCCCGACACATATTCTTGCATATAATGAATGATCTGATTCGTCGAGCCGCCGGCAGGATGTGTTTTTATGATCTCGGGTATAAGAGACTGTGAATTGGAATAAAGATTTATAATATTGTTTCCAAAGCATATAAGGAATCCAGCAAATACTTACATAATTTGTATTGACGGGATCAAAACCGGTGTATATAAACAATAGATTTGCACAAATAGTCTCCTCCACCACTTCATTGGCACATGTCTCAGCGCCGAAGAGAGACAAAAACTCATTATAGCCTAATATATTATTATCGCTCAGAGCTTTCGTAAGTGGACTGGGCGTACCCAAAATGGGTGCGGTGAAACGTGTTAACGGTGCACCCTGGTGATCTACATAAGCGACTGGCGCTAACAGATGTGCTGTACGTATGCGCTCCATATACCAGGGCATTAGCGACATTAACACAAATATTGTTGTTGTGCCCATTGAATGACCAACGTAATGCAAAGAGCCGCTTTGCGTCGTATTTAGCACATAATCAAACATTGCTGGTAAATCATAAATGGCCAACTCATGGAAGCTAAAACGCCAAAAAGCGTGCTTCTCTGGTGAGCGTGAAATGTGTCGCCTCGAATAGGTATTTCCACGAAAGTTACCCAACCAAACATCATAACCAGCATCGGCAGCCAAATAGGGTAGTGCTTGGTTGGGACCAACTAAGATCCAACCATCAGAGGAACTTATCAAACCGTGTTGCAGAAATAACACCGTTTTATTCGAAATATGCGCATTTTGCGTGCGCAGTGAGTAGGGTATGCGAAACAGGGTGAGTATGTAGCCATCGGTGGTTTGTACGGTATGCGCCTCCACGGGATAATTGTCAGCCACGATGCGGTCTGCCTGCGAATTTAGATAAAATTTGTCGTTTTATTGTATTTCACTCAGATTCACCAAAAATTGTAAATAAACTTGCCGTTGTTGGATAAATTGGTGTAGTTAATGCCGATGTGTTGGCAAAAATGCATAAAAATAACGAAAATAATAATAACTGCATTATTTCTCAGTCACAGTGAACGCTTCGAAAGTCTGTACCGTTGTGAGGTAAGCTATAAAATACCAACTCAATGACATATATTTTTATTTAAATAGCCAACTAAGTGTTTTCCAGATTATATATTGTATGAAGACCTTGCGCCCGCATGTATGGAATGAATTTTGTAAAAAATTATGTGACTCTCTTCAATAAATATTTGTGCGTGCATTGGAGAAATAAAAGAGTTATACCAAATGAGTGAGGTGCAGAACAGAGAAAGCAGATACAATTTGGCAAAAAAAAAGTAAAAAAATGGAGGAAAGTTATTTCAGAAAACCACGCCTTCTGTTTTGAATTTCTCTTTAAAAAATTCTCCGTAAATTGTTTTAAAAAATACCAACATAAAAAGGGTGCTTTCTGGGTCTGTTGTTTTTAAGTAGAAAAAAAGCATTTATATGTTAGAGTTTTGATAAAGAATTTAGTTTTATTATAAAGATAGGGGTTTGCGCCACTCGATACTGACTGGCTCCAAGAAATTCCACCCTAGAGACCCACTGAACACTTTGTGCAGCAATATTCTCTTCCAAGGCGTCAGTAATCTCGGTCCGCACGATATTGGAGGCCAAGCGACAGGCTCACGACGGTAGATAATGCGCTCACCAAAAGTTCCCTTCAATAAATTGATTAGTTCGTTAGCTATAAGGTATTTATTTTAGAGTGAGTAGGGCCAAAGGTCAACCGCATCAATAACCTAAAATTCAAGCAAGAAAAGGTCATTAATAACAGAGTCTATAGAGCGTTCCCCATTGACTATAATATTATGACCGGCTTAATACTTTTATAAAATATGGATTACATGGATATTATATGGAAATGATTCCCTCTGTCTATAGAGCAAACTAACAGTGACTTTTGGAGAATGAAACGTTGTCCCAACAATAGCTTATGGATTATCTTAACCCCAAATGCAACAATTCCAAACAAAATTATGTTTTCAAAACCGGAATCGTTGGCCTATTCATCGTTTTAGGGACATTCTCCGAAAGTACGCCGCACTGAGTGGTCGTTCAGCTTTCATTCTTGTACGAGTTGGATTTCGTAAGCCCACAAATCAAGATCTTTTCGCAAAATCTTCCATAAAGTGATTTGGTACTGCTACAATTGTTTAACGCGCGATGACGTATGGCCTCCTTCGGGCCTTCTTCTATACTCTGCTCCACAGCAGCAATACCGTCTTCGGTGCGCACTGTATAGCATCTCTGAGAATGCGCATTGTTCTCTTTAGTAGACGTCGTACTTAACCGGCCCATGGTACCTAGAATTATCAACTCTGCATGGTGATTATGTCGAACCAACCGGAGTGAGTATGTTCAATATGAAATGGCAAGCCAACCGCATATAAGTCAAGTAAAAGCTGTTAAAAAGACCAAATCCGGAAAAATTTTAACTCATTGTAAAACGTCTATAAAAATACAATATTTTGTTTTGGAAAGAAATTTTGCTGACCTTAAACTTGCCGATGTGATTATCTGGACCACGGTGAACATTTTCGATTCTTTTGAGACGCCACACCGTCGGCGGACACACTCTCTCGCTCTCCCTCTTTTTTTTCCAAACATCCTGCAGAGACCATCGTCTCAGACCACGACGCAGTCACTAACTTAGGGCTGTTTCTGTGAAGATTTCGAATTGTATTTCAGGACAGTTAAGTCGTAGCTACGAGGTAGTTTCCGCTAATAATGCGATTTCGACCGCATGTGTGACAAGTAGCACCGTTCTGTTGACAACGCACTTCGTCCATGTCGATTTCTTCAACAGTTGGAAACAAATAGTCACGCTCAGAGACTCGGCAACGATCTGTATTGACGCTACCGGCATCTCCTTCATCGTTTCCAAAGAAAAAGAAACAAATGACACCGCCAGTCCGCTTGCCTTGCCAAACAATCACTAATTGAATATGGATTGGCCCTTTCATAGTTGCGGTGGTTAACGTAACCATCAAGTTTCATCGGAAAACATAAGTTTTTGATAAAAATTTTCATTTTCAGCTCATTTATTGTTCATACTTCTTGAGAGCATCGGGGAGTGGACTCCAAAGCCCACTTTATCCTCGAGTTGAAAGATGAATTTGACTCCCTGGTTATGGGCGTTTGTGTTCTCCTATTCGTTTCTTTTTGGCATTCTTGTAGAATTGAGTAGCAGTAACGCATCTAAGGAAAGGTTGTCAAATATCTCCCTTCCGCTTTTTTTGCTCTTCATTCAATGCTTTATAAAAAGTGTTACAGTGATCGGATTTAGTTAAAATATGCGCCGTTTTGCTCGATGATCTGTTTCCATCTAGACGGCAACTTCATAATACCTTCCCCGTAGAAGCCCCCCTCCTTATTTGCGAAAAATTCGGACAGCCACTTTTCACAAGCCTCTTTTGAGTTTAACTTCACACCACCAAGGTCCCATGGACAGGAACAGGTGGTAATCACTTGGCGCTACGTCCGGGCTATATGGTGGATGCGATAAAACCTCCCATCCGAGCTCCCGTAGCTTTTGACGAGTCATCAACGAAGTGTGTGGTCTGGCGTTGTCCTGGTGGAACACTACACCCTTCCTGTTGGCCAATTCTGGACGCTTCTGGTCGATCGCCTGCTTCAAGCGGTCCAGTTGTTCGCAGTAGATGGTAGAATTAAGCGTCTGGCCATATGGGAGCAGCTCATAGTGGATGATTCCCTTCCAATCCCACCAAACACACAACAAAACCTTCCTGTCCGTCAATCCCGGCTTGGTCACTGTTTGGGACGATTCACCGGCCTTCGACCACGACCGTTTTCACTTGATATTGTCGTATGTGATCCATTTTTCGTCGCCAGTTGCCATCCGCTTCAAGAATGGGTCGAGTTCGTTCCGTTTCAGCAGCATATCGCAGGCGTTTATTCGGTCCAGAAGGTTTTTTTGCGTCAAATTATGCGGCACCCAAACCTCAAACTTTTTTTTGTATCCAGCCTTCTGCAGATGGTTCAAAATGGTTTGGTTTCTAGCTCCCATCTCCTGGGCGATGTCACGAGATGCCATATGCCGGTCTAACTCGATGTATTCCATGATTTGATCGGTATTTGTCGTCACAGGTCTTCCGCCGGCTGGCTTATCCATGGTGTCGTTTTCACTGGCTCTGAATCGTCGAAACCATTCCTCCGCGGTTCGAAGTGGTAGAGTACCATCCCCCAAAACACCATTAATCTCATGGAACGTTTCTTTAGCGGATTTGCCTTTAACGAAGGAAAACTTTAAAATAGCGCGAATTTCGGCGTTAGTGAACTCCATGTTTACACGTCTATAACTCTATAACTGTTGAACGCAATATCCAAACTAATCATGCATAGCGTTGTTTTGTAGGTTATGTCAAGACCTTTCAAATTATGTATATATATGTGCCAGATACGAGCTCTGTAGCGATTTGTACATAGCCGCGAAATTCAAAAGACAAAAAAGCAGAAGGGAAATATTTGACAACCTAATATTTGAAATACTTAATAATTTAGGCATTTTGTTCTGATTCTTCAATACTTCAAAAGCTTGAATCTTCAAACAGTTTCCTAGCTTAAAACTGCGCAAGTACCGATCGCGTTTAGGTCTACTTATGATGTCAAAATTTGGAAACCTTTAGTTCCGACAACCAAGTCATTGTCTTTATTTGTAACGAGTTTCCATACTTTCTTCGACCATTACACTAGGAATATACTTAATTACTCACTTCCTTCATAAAAACAAAAATTCCTAATTCGCCGTTTTGCATAATCGAGCATACCGTTGTCAGAGAATTTTCAACACTAAATTATTTTCAACACTAAATTAATTTCAACCAGAACACTTAACCTATGAAACTTCCAGAACAACCCGTATCGGACGAATATTTTAGCCTATCAGTGTACAATAACATTTCTTCGTATTTATAATTTCAAGTATTTTGCTGATACGAGCTCCTATGAGTTTAATTGGTAACTATGCGTGTGAGCAGCACTTAATGATAATTTATTGCTCCTTGGAATTTAGTCGAATCTTCCTTAGATTATCACATTTTCAAGTGTTCAATGTTCGTATACCGATACCGATAATACAAAACAAAGCACTCATGCCGCAGGGTGTGTCTCCGCACTGTGAGGCATGTAAGGGAGTCTGAGAAGTAGGATAGAAAAAGTCAGTATTTTCACGTGAAATAAATGGGAGTGCGTACTATCTTTCGGAAGGTGAGGGTTTGAGTACTAATCCACCAGCATGCGAAATTAAAAAAATATATATATTCTCTTCGATATTAATATTGTTGCGCGAGTAAATATTGCCACGAAGGTAATCAAACCAGAAGTGAAAATCAATGGATATATAAAGAAAGGGTTTTAGTCGTGGACTTAAGCGGTTTAAAGGCAAATCCAGGAGAGGATTAAAATCAATTGTTTGGACTAAAGCCAAAGTGTTCAGTGTAAGGACTTAACTTGCTCTCTCCGTCCACAATGTGCAACCAGATCTTAGCTATTGTCTTCGAAAGAAAAATAATAAATACTGAAAACTCATTCCTCTTGGCGTGAACTACACGAGAAATGTTCTTGTTTAGACATGCTACTTTTGTTTACAATAAACTAGCTTTATATATAATCTATTGGTGTTATTAATCACCTTATAGATTCTCAGGATAAGATAGTTATTTGTTATTGGAAACTTTGCACGGCACCAAACGTTTACCTTCCTTAAACTAGACCTAATTGTGCGGCTGGAGCTGAAAACTTGCAGGTTAAGAGAACAAACTGATTCCCTATACTCTTCGAGATCATTCGCAGCAGATCAATATATACTCTTCCTTGACCGGCTTAACAAATAGTTTGTTCTTAACAACGCATATTCGAGCCATACCTGTTTTACTATCTCTCGAATTTCATATGTCGTTTCCTCATTACTATTCTTAACGAGCATAATAAAAGTTATCTCCACTTCGAAGTCAACCAAATGTGTCTTGACATGGCCAATAGGTCTTCTTAACCTATAGCCAGGTATCTACAAACTAAAGATGTCGCGCTGATCAATCAAAGATCTTGACACTGCCCTTCGTTGAGATAACCTGACTATCCGAGCATATATTTGCTTTCACCACGTTCCCGTAGTTTACTGAAACGCTTTTCTATGTCTAGCATTTGCGTTTAAAGGAAGCTGGCTGAAAAAAAGGGGATCCCGCGATCTTTGTAGTGTACCCACTCAATCGGATGCAAACCCGTCGGAATCCCGCTTTCATGCCTAGGGGATATCGTCACAAAAAACATCCACTGAATTCCACTTACGCCAAGTGCCTAAAATAGTGTCCTCGGTTTAAGACCTCAGTTTTCACTGAAGTTTCTGAATCGAAACTTTCAAAGTGAGACTTTTCAATCTTACAAGGCAAAAGGGAACCCACCGGGTGAAAACGGGACCCTTCTCTCTTAAAAGAAAAAGTTCTGAAAATATATGGAAGGCTCTCGAAAACAATGCAACGGTTCTAGAATGTGGGTTAACACTGAAGGAAACTGAGACCTCGATTTACATAAAAATAGGTTTTTGACCCCTAAAACTTAATATAATCTGGAATTTAAGTAGGAACGAAGCTGTTTTTTAACTCATAAAAATGTAAGACTTCAAGAAAGAGAATAAAAAAGTTCACTATTATTCTTTAATTCAGTTCTTCATAATCGCGACAATACTGTATTACCGGATCGTTGATCTCTTCCTTAACCTGTTTGGCGAAAATGAAATCCAAATGTCCCCACGTAGGATTCGGTACTTCATGAAATACGCGTAAATTGGGGAGATAAGACGGTAGACGTTGCATATCCATCGGATTGGCAGAGTCATCATTTAAACCATAATAGAGATATGTTTCGGCAGTGATCTTCTCCAGCGGGTACTCTGGCGGCTCGGCTTGGCGATACTGTTGTTTATTCTTTTTCGCACCAAAATCATATTGACGGAATTTATTGGACACCTTAAGTTGTATGTAGTGAATGCCTTGATTAGTCGAAATACCCGCCGGATGGGTCTCAGCGAGTTGAGGCAACAATGTCTAAGAAAGAAATTACTTTAAAGATTATTTTTAATAGCAAATATCGTGCTTCATCAGTATACTCACCGCATTTAGGTTCGACTGCTCCTTACCGGCCCACATTAGGAAGAGTGTCTGACAATATTTGGGAAAAGTTGACTGACCACCGCACGCCGTATCCAATAGACGTTGCACATACGGATTATACGGTACAAATGGTTGATCGCTGAGCAAATTCGCACCAGCACCGGGTGTACCAACATAAGGCGCCAGCGTCGTAACAATACCCTCAGTAGCATTACCCATAAAAACCGCCGGGGCTAAACAGTGCCCGGTTTTTATTTTTGCATTGTATTCGGGTCGCGATGAAAGCATTACGAAGTAGACAGTGCCCCCTTGAGAATGTCCAACATAATGCAGTGCAGGCTCACCCGTCAGCTCAAGCACGTAATCTATGGATTCGGGCATATCTATCGCACCTATTTCATGCCAGCTGAATTTCCAAAACTTGGGATGACCGGCTGTCATGGTCGCATGCTTGCGCGAATAAATATTACCGCGAGCATTGCCCAGCCAAACATCGAAACCAGCATCGGCGAAATTGTATGCGATTGCATTTTCCGGACCATTAAGTAAGAAGCAGTCAGAACAACCGAACAGCCCATGTTGGATGAAGACGACTGGTTTCTGCTCGCGCTGATTTCCCAAGCGTGGCGAGTATGGTATGCGAAAGAGATTGAGAATATAGCCATCACTGGTCTCTACGGAATGTGACTCGGCTGGATAGCCATGCTCGCGTATCCTTTCGGCCTAGAATATCAAAGAACTATGAAAAAACGAATGCATCTTATATGTATCTAAGCAGCTTACTGATGTTTTGAGCGGCTTAAAAGGTATGTCTATATAGGGATCCACATGACTCAAATCCAAAGCATCACACAGGGCCAGCAGCATACATAGAATGAACGTTAAGTACAACATTCCGGCGATAATCTCGATGTTCCGCAAAAACTAAGCTGTGTGAATGAGCAGTGCAAGGTTATAAAGGCTCTTGGCTTAGGACTTAGTCCTATCTAATCTTATAATTTGCAACATGCGCATTAATTATCGTAGATTAACTCTAGCAAAGTAATCGACGTAGGCTAATCTGATATGGTAGATTGTAATCAAATCAATACCCCCCGTGATGTTATATTTCTTTTTCGTGAAGATATCTGTGTATGTGTATACAATTGGCGCTTTATAACCGCTGAAGCGACTTTCGGCCGAGCTCCTCCTGCAATTGGTTGTGTATGTCTTAAGGTTTTTGCAATAACTTTTACTAAGCCGCCACCGAACGGCTTACGGTTTTTTATGAGGAGCTTTATTTCATGTCAGAAATACACTCGGAGAGGTTGACAAGCCCCTGAAATATACTTCAGTGGGCCCATTATTATAGCTGACCTTTGTTTGTTTAATTGTTAAGTCTGCTTTTACTGGTTTGTCGCTGTCTTCTTAAGAAAGGAGATGGGGTTACTACATTAAGCAGATTACTTTTTTCAAGATCCCTTCAGGGCTTCTTCTTTGAAGGCTTAAGATGAGCATATCGAGGAATAAGCTCA